CTGGATAGCCCAAGTTGAACCACTAGAGCTTAAGCAATGCCTCTACAACTATGGTTGGCAGATAATGGTTTGTGTTTTGTCAGGGAGTATGCAATGAATGGTAGAGTGGAGGGCACCACAGGCTATTAAAAGTTGAATTTTGTTAGCTGAAGCTAGGGGTGGGTAAATGGGTCGGTTTTACCTGGAACCGAATGGCTTCAACTTTGAACCAGCCTCAAACCAACCTTGTCCAATTTATTTCCGGGTAGGTTCTGGTTCCAATATATATATATGAATGAAATCAGAAATATTATGAAAAAAGGTTCTCAGAAAATTTTGTATTTTCATCTAGCAAAATGGAGATATTTAGGGAAATTTTTCCAAATATTAATGATACTGCAAACCATACCTGAATTGTGTATAGAGGTTATACACACACACAAACTTTGAGTTGGGTTGATCTAGCCTTAGGTTGGGATGGGCTGGATAGCCCAAGTTGAACCACTAGAGCTAAAGCAATGCCTCTACAACTATGGTTGGCAGACAAGACAACTCAACTAAGTTAAATTTTGATAGCTGCAGCTAGGGGTGAGCAAATGGGTTGGTTTAAACTGGAATCGAATGGAATCAACTCTGAACCAGCCTCGGACCAAGCATACCCAATCTGTTTCTGGGTAGGGTTTGGTTCCAAGCAAGGATAAAAAAATCGCAACGTATCGGAGTGTATCGGTCAATACATATCGTAAGCTTCCTAAAACGCCCCTACAAGGGGAGTTCCGGGGTTTGGTCTAATTCAAGAGATAAATTGGCCTTAAACCGACCCCTCTGAATCAATTTCAAAGAAAAAAATAAAAAGCGACCAAAGATACAGGTCGACACACCCCTACTGGCGCATCATACACATGTATGCTGGATGCTCTCTGAGCAGAGCTTAACATCTCAATATACGCGCCTCCAAGCAAATCTCTCTCTAGTATGGGATATTCCCAATGTTTGTTGGATGCTCTCTGAGCAGAGTTTTTTCTTACAGGACATCCGGGTTCGCCATAGAGAGTCAAAAGCAAGTTTGAGATCCGATACAATTTTTGAAAAAGTACGGACAGATCCAATGCAGATTTCTAATTTCCACTGCAGAGATATAAACATTCAAAATATTAACAACCGACACTCTATGTATCAATGCCCCCCATGAATTGGCCCAAAAGTACTTTAAGCCTACAAAATCTGACCCTGGGCTGAATCATCATTCTTCCTATAATTTTTTTTTTCATTTTCATTTGTTTTATTCCTCCTTCTTGGGCCGTGAGCCCAAAGTAAAAGTGAATTTGAAAGAGTTGTCTGAGACTGAGTAATGTTAGAAGAGGGGAAAAAACAAAGATGTAAAGGTCCAGCTTGTGTTGGATCAAATTTTAATCAAGCCATCCAAATCCAATCCAATTGTAAATAAAATATAATAATTCACACAGTGGTGGTAAATTGACGGATTGGATTGGGTTCGGGTTGAAAACCAATCCATGTCAATTGCATCTTAAAAATGTAGGTTGGGATAGAAATTGTTACCCTAGACTAGGCTGTAATCGGGTTGGATTGGATCGAATTTAACAATTTACAAATTCAATCCAACTAAAGGAAACTGGAATCTGAAACCGATTCGAAATGGATTTGGGAATCTTAGATTGAAACTGAATCCTGTGAAATTATTTTTTAATAATAAAATTTAAAAATAAAAAAGTACAATTTAAATCAAATATATAAATTAATATAAGTACGAAATATTAATTACAGAGGAAAGGTAAATTACTTTTAAATCTTAACCTTGTTATTTGTCACATGAGCCACATGGTTTACCCTTGTTTTGTCATATGGTTTGGATTTAATCATTATGTCTGGAGCGGAGCTATGAGGGACCCAGGGGGAGCCATGACCCCTCTATTCAGAAAATCCCACTTGTAATGCATTATTTCATGTAAGTTTCCCCCTTCTCCTAGCCCTCACCCCAATGGTTGGCCCTCCTATGTATTGGCCCATTAATATTTATCCCCCCAATCCACTTTATGTATTGGGCCCCCTTATAAAAAATTCATGGCTCCGCCCTTGATTATGTGAGTCATGTTGATGATTGCTCTCATTTGGCTTTATCCTATGCAATCAAAATATGAAATCCATATTATTTTTATGAAAAATCTATTATATATTTTATGGAGATTGTTGCAACATAACTCATAACCCCCACCCCTGGTGGCAATAGGATTCAATCCCAAATTTCTGCTGGGAGACTAAGCCAGCAACCGTATCAACCTGCCTTGTGATGTTTACTCTGTTAGCTATTTAGGTAGGAGAAATTAGTAATCTCTCTTGGGGTTTTTGTCAAATACTAAGGTCACGTTTGGGAGTGCTCAAAAATAAGTGCTTATTTGAGTTATTAAGCACTTATTGGTATTTGGGAAATAAGCCTAAAATAAGTGTTTATTTTAAAAATAAGGACTTATTTTTTAAGTCCAAATTTTCAACTTTGTTTAAGTGCTCATACAATAAGCACTTATTCAAATTTGTTCACCCATAAATGTCCCCGATAAATTTTTAGAATACCAATTATACCCTTTTATAAAAGCACTTTTACAAAGGCACATTTATAGAAGTAATTTTATGAAAAGTACTTTTATAAAAGTAATGTATTTTAATGAAAGCACTTTTAGGAAAGTGCTTTTATGAAAGTAGCATTTTTATGAAAACACTTTTATAAAATCATTTTTACAAAAACACTTTTACGAAAACACTTTTATAAAAGTACTTTTCAAAATCAATTTTATAAAAGTATTTTTACAGAAGTACTTTTATCAAAATACATTTATGAAAGCACTTTTATAAAAACGCTTCTATCAAAGTACTTTTATTCATTCACTTTGGATTGGGCATTTTTAAAATTTAGAAAATGAAAGGCAAAAGAATCACAATTGCTTATTTAAGTGCTTATTGGAGAAAAAGACCACCAAATGCCTAATATGAAATAAGTGCTTATTTTTAAAACAAGTACTTGAAAAAACTGGGTGCCAAATACAAATAAGTTCTTATTTGAATAAGCACTTGTTTTTAATCACTTATTCAATAAGTAATTATTTTTAACATAAATACTCCCAAACATGGCCTAAGAATTCCCTCTGTGTTTACCTATTATAACTTATGGCTTGTAGTGTGGGGTTGAGTAATTTATTTCACCCATCCAGTGAAATAAACTACTGGTCAGAGATTTGATCCCAGGTCATCCCCCTCCCTTAACCTTTCAAACCCTGGTGGCAACAATGGGATTTGATCCCAGGCCTCTACTTCAATGAGTCAGAGACTCTACCAACGGAACCACCATCAGTATGATGCACTCCTGTGTATCAGCAAAGGTGTATCGGTACTAAAAACATGCGTGTTTGTATTTTTTTAGTTTTTTTCAAAAATTGGTTTTTAGGGATATTTTTAAGTATATATTTTATTAAAGGGCTCGAAATACTTGTAAATAGGTGTATTGTTACCTCAAAGATACGGCCATCCTATGCCTTATATGGGGCGTATCGCATTGAATTTTTTATCCTTGAATATGCCACCAATTTTAGTGACGAAAAAAAAAATGCTCATATGGCAATTGAAGCTTTTTAAAAATCTATTTTACTTTGGCACGTTTTTGAATATTATATGGACAAAATACCTTGTTGTCATTTCTTGAAGGGATTTTTTTCTGCAATAACAATGAGGTAGAAATGACTAGTGGAAAGGAAAAATAAAATAAAATAAAATACAAAGTTGAAATTAATGACCTAGTTTTTGCGTCATTCCACCCATCTCCAATTCAAATTCAAATTCGATCCCATTAAAGTGATCCGCATTTGATCCGTTTTATAATTAGATCAAATATGATCCAGTCCACCCTTATCTTTTCATTCAATTAAATATGTTTAATATTTATATTATATCTATTAGCAAAATTGGTTGAATATTGCGGGTATACTGAATTGTCATGGGTTCAAAATTCATACAAAGTAATTTTCAACTCATTTTGTTCATAAAGTATGATACCAAAATCTTTTAGTTCGTTAATAATAATAATAATAATAATAATGTTTGACCATTTTTATTTAATTTATTTATACTATTGAATATCTTCTTGTAATCCGAATTTAATTCAAATCCGATAAAAAAAAAAACTTATGGATAAGATCTGATGCAAATTCAAACATAAACGAATCAAGTTTGAATCTACCTATACTGACTCTTATTTGGGAAAAGGTAATATATTAATATAAACAAAAGATGTACAAGGAAAAGGGCCTAAACAAGACCCCCTCCAGGTTTTGATCCAAACAAGAACCCCCTTTTCAACTTTCAAATAAATATATAAGCAACCCTTCCATTTAATTTCTTGAAATAGAGATGTTAAAATTACAATATTTTAGTTTAATTAATTTCTTTAACCTAATTTACTTAATTAATTGAATTAACTTAATATACTTGAGGCCCTACTAGTACTAAATTATATCTTTAGATTTTTAAGACCATACTAGGTTTCTACATGGCGTACATATGTTAGGTTGAGTTAGTAGGAATTGACTAGAAAAGGTTTTAAAATAATCTAGCCCATTTTGGATTGCTACTTTACATATATTATTATGAGAGAGAGAGAGAGAGAGAGAGAGAGAGAGGTGAGAGAAAAAGGGAGAGATTTTTTCTGTTTTTTTGCTGGACAAAGAAACTATATTAAACCACATAAAAGATTACATAGTCCCAAACAGAAGGAAGCCAAGATGGCAAAGCATAAAAAAATACAGAAGCTTGATCAGTAGTCTTGGCATATTGGGCCAACATATGGGCTGGAAATTAAGGCTTTAGTTTCATTCATAGAGAGCTGAATATCTGGTTGCTATTCCTCAACTAAAAAACCATTTTTGTTCGGAAGCAGTCATTGAGAATTCCCAACTAGCGACCTGGTAAGTCAGTGCTTCATTGTTTTTTCAAGCAAGCCTGTAATGTCATCAGTGTGGAAGCAAGAGTTAATTTTCCATTCATAGACAAACACAACCCTTCCTGTTCTTTCTCCTTTACAATTTTATGAAAGAATATGTATATTTCAAAAAAAAAAAACAGTAAAGCTTCTTCGCATATAGCCACATTGTTGAACTCCATGACAATCATCTTTATAGAGACTGATAGCCAAAACCAGAAGCATGTTATTCTTTCTTATTCTTATGGGATGTCCCTTTCCAACTCCTCCCGACTAACTTGAGAATCTCATCGATGAGCACAACAGGTAATGAGACCAAAATAACTAATGACCACTCCTTCAGACTCATTGGAACAATACCAAACACATCCGCTAGGAAAGGAACATAGAGAATGAGAAAATGGAGCCCAAATGACACTGACATAGCCACCAAAAGCCAAGGGTTCCTCCAAGGTGGTATCCTGACCAAGCTGTTATCTTCTGATAAGGCATTCAGAGAATTCAACAACTCAATTGCCACCAAAACAGATAAAGATAGAGTCATTGCCTTCACTTTACCATCAGAGAAATAGTCACAGGGATTTGAGAATGACATAACATGACCACCAGTAATCTTGAATGGGGAAACTGTAAAATTTGACCAAGAGGGACACTCCCCCCAATTGCGGAGCTGAGACAAAGTAACCAGTGTATGTCCATCGCTCACAAGGTTGATGCCCAGAAAGGAACCTTGAGTATACCACAAAACAAAAATACCAACGGTTGCGATGCCAACATATGACCCAATTACCTGCCAAAGTTGAAATTGTATTAGAACAACATCCATGGCAGAATAATTATTTTGAGATTCTACTCTGCACACAGAGCACAGGAATTCTCAATTACCAGGAGAATCTTACTCAATGAGCCAATCCATGGATAAAATCTAAAATCGTCATAGATATCCATGCTATTCAATTTGCAACTAAATGTAAATGGTGAATGAAGACGTACAAATGCCACTATCAACACGCTTAAGGTCATTTACTGGAGGTGATTGTTTGATCACATGCATTACTAGAATGAGCTATCAATTGGCTCCCATATCTAGCAAGTATGTGAACACAATATGACAAGAAAGCCAGCATTGTTGTAATCTAATATTCCAATTACTGTCCTATATAAAAACAAGTACTCAGTGCTCACCATATAACGGAAGAGAACCCAAGAATTGATGAGAGCATCATTGCTCTTACGGGGTGGTTTCCGCATGATATCAACATCTGCAGGATTAAATCCAAGAGCTGTTGCAGGTGGGCCGTCAGTAACTAAATTGACCCAAAGAAGCTGAACTGGTATCAAGCATTCTGGTATGCCCAATGCAGCTGTCAAGAAGATGGAGATGACTTCCCCAATATTAGATGATATCATGTACCTGCACGAGAAGTGTAACAGTTTATGTAATGTAACTAAGCAGAAGCAACAAAAAAGACAAGATCTCAGAGACATACCTGATGAAAGCTTTCATGTTATTATATATTGAGCGGCCCTCAGCAACAGCAGAAACAATGGTACTGAAGTTATCATCTGCAAGAACCATGTCTGACGCTTCCTTTGCAACCTGAACATTAAGCATAGGGCATAAAAAAAAGTCAAGTTAACCACTCGTGCGGTATTAGTGACAAATAATGATGATAATAACACCTAGGAAATTGAACTTAACCAGTCAACCTATCTATTTCTTTTTCACTATTGGATAAGGTATGGTAAATGGTCCACAATTAGGTTTAGGGGCCGTTTGATAACAGCTGAAGTGACTGAACTGAATAATTTTTTGCTTTGTCTTTGTGAATAAAGTCATAGGAGGTAGTGAAATCATTAATGACTGAAGCTGAAATTGGGTTGATTATTATACCTTTTGAGTGTTTTTTTTTATTCATCCAAGAAATAGAATAATAAGACAATTCAGTTCAAGTACTTCAGCCCTTATCGAACAGGTCCTTAGTCTTGACAATTAAGATGATGTGTTGCACATCTTGCAAGGAGACCTGATCAACCACTGCAACATCTCCCTGTATGTTATGCATATTCTCTTCTTTGTAGAAGGAAGGCTGCAGTGTATCACAAGAATTATTAGAAGCACTTAGGAAATTTACCTCAGTCCCAGTGATGCCCATAGCAATTCCAATATCAGCTGATTTCAGTGCAGGTGCATCATTTACACCATCCCCAGTCATTGCAACAACCTCACCCCTTTCTTTCAGCATCCTTACAATTTCTTGTTTGTGCTTTGGTTCAGCTCGAGAAAAAAGCATACCTCCTGGTTTTGTCAAAATTTCAATTTGTTGTGCAGAATTAAGAGACATGAACTCTTTACTTATAAAACTTTTCCTTCTGAGATCCTCACTGCCAGAAAATAGTCCAATTTCCCGACAGACAGCTTCAGCTGTGGACTTATTATCTCCAGTGATCACCAGAACTTTGATGCCAGCTTCTCTACAATCTTCAATTGCTTTATGAACTTCATCACGAGGAGGGTCCTGTTTCAATCAGAATCCAGAGTCACATTTGCAATGTCACTATCAAGAACTAGTGCATACAGACTAAGTTTGTCAAGGTACTCACTCTCAGACCAACAACCCCAACAAAAATTAGGTTACTTTCAATGGTGAAGTAGTTAGCAGGATCAAGCAATTTCCTGTGGGCAGGATGACTCTCTGAATGGTAGTCAGAGAACTCTCCCAAGTCATCCTTGTATGCCAAACCCAGACAACGCAAGCCCTTTGAACTCATCTCAATTAATCTCAACAGTAACAATTGCCTGCATGACTCATCTATTGAAACAATAGATCCATCCGCGAGTTGCACATGTGAGCTGCGCTCCACAAGATTCTCAACAGCACCCTGCAATTTCAAAACATTAGTCTGATGTAAAAGATGTCCAATAAAAAAGCACTGGTTACAGTGAAACTTTTTTCCATACAAAGCAAGGAAAGTTTGTGCTTTACAGTATAACTAAAAGAAATTATTTCGGGTGTTTGACATAGCATAATTATAGACTGCTTGTTAACACCAAAGATAATGCTTTTATAAGAGTACAAAAGTAATTTGTAAGTTCAATAATAACCATTGGCAATGCACATTTTGTAACATTACCTAAACTCAACTGATCAAACGAGTTACGAAAATAAATCTTTCCCAAAATCTTACACCCCTGCATAATATTTCCCCTGACATATGGTATTAATAGTATCCTGGTGCAGAAACAGGAATATAACTACTCTGTCGATTCTAGTAGTGTCATCAGTAAGCCCATAGTCCACATCATAGGTGGATAAAACGAGCCTTGAAGAGACAAACAGAGCAGCCCAAATCAATTCCAACTGCCCATACACTTATAGGCAGATGGACATTATTGAAGATAAATTAGATGTCAAACAATTCATATCAAGACTCAAGAGGGGGTATTATGAGAAAAAAAATCAAAAGAAACTAAAAAAAATAGTGCAAACAGAGAAGAACACTCAAGTTTACATGGTTTGGCGTTTGCTGCCTATATCCGTGGAAGATCCCTGTGAAATTCATTATTCTCAATCAACTATACACAACCCTAATGAAGCTAGTTTTAATATCATTGAATTAGGTTTCCTTAGTATTAGGAATCCTGAGAGTATACAAGACTCCTTTCATCAGGAGGCAATCGATATAGGTGGATTTTAGTTAAGTGGTTGGGTAAGCTAGATACTGAATATACTCATTGCTGAATGAATGAGCAAAAGCAAATTGAGGAAATTAATATAGATGGTTTTGTGGTCAGGTTGTTAGGAAAGCTAGGTTAGGGTCATTCCTAATGATGGTCCCAGCTATTTGGGGTCATATAGTCAAATTATTGAAGGTGAGATAAAGCAAATTGTTTCAGGTGTCAGCCCAAGATTTTTACATTTAGCAATGGCCCCTATAGGAGAAAATTGATTCAGGTGTAGTGGTATCCATTTAAGCAAGAGTAAACACTATGATTAACGGATTTTCTTTTGATTTTTGTTTTATGTTTAGGGTGCTTTATTTTAGAATTTTATTCTAGAAGCCACTTAAGTAATCTGAATTTTAAGGAAAACCTTTCAGGCCCAGAAATAATTATTTGATGTTGCTTTGATGTTTGATGGTTTAAAATAGAAGTGTGGGTGGGAATGATCTGACTCTAGCAAGGTTTACATCTTCCAATCAAACAAGAAACCTTAGGCTTCACATCTTCCAATCTTCACTCACCAGTTTTTTCTATCATTTACCTATTTGGTGTTGAATCCAGCCTTCAATTTGTCTTTTTTTTTCACCACAATGCATATAATACATTCCAACTATTTGGGGTCGGCTACATGAATCCTGTTTCGCCATTCCATACTGTTTAATGCCATACCCATTGTTAAATTATAATGTATAACATCCGGTACAATTTACAGTAAATCAAAATTAAAAGTTAAAGAGATTGCAGTCTCAGTGTTCAATTAAGTACGTTGCAAAGCAACATTCATTAAGTATTTACAAGAATTGGGTGGTTGCAAAACAAGACATTTGCACATTTATAGAAAGGTGCCAAGGCAGATGTAGATGCATTTAAGAAATCTAATTATGTTTCTTCCACTGATTTAACTAATGACAACAAAGAAAAAGAAACAATGACTTGTAAATATACAGTCTATGACATCACCTTGACAAGAAGACGATTATGTCCATCTGGCTCCCGAACAATAACGCTCATTGATTTACGAATTCGATCAAATTCCAATGTGGCAATCCTTTTTGATCTTTTTGTCCACCACTCGCAGCAGCCTAGACCATGCAAAGATAAGTAAGAGAACAAAAACTGCATAGGTTATCCATGTTAAAACAAACAAATAACATAGAATGGCTGGTTTCTGTTTACCTAATTTAACTGTGCTACGGTCAATCAAATAGTCAGCAGCAAGTTGTGCATTACGGATTCTGTTCCTCAACTTAGGATCTGGAACCCCCATCTTTTCAACCAAGACTTTGAGAGCTGCCTCAGTTGGCAGACCTGTAGCTCGGAAAAGGGGACCATTGCAAAAGATCCCAGAATCATTGCAGACTGCACATATTTCCGCCATGGCTTGCAAGCTAGCATCCATATTGTAGCAAGTCCAGTCCACAATGCCACCATCCTTGGGATTGTAGGTTGTGCCTTCAACACGAAAAACCCGAGAGGCTGTCATCTTCCCACCCAAGGTGAAGAATTCAGTTACCGACATCTGATTGGTGGTGAGGGTTCCAGTCTTATCTGAACAAATAACAGTTGTACATCCTAATGTCTCTACACTTGGAAGTTTTCTTACAATTGCGTTCTTTTGTGCCATCTTCCTAGTACCCAAGGCTAAACAAGTTGTGATTACCGCAGGAAGGCCTTCAGGGATGGCAGCTACTGCAAGGGCAACAGCTATCTTGAAATAGTATGTGCATTTCTCAAAAGAGAAGTGGAAATTTGTTGGCCATCCATTCTGAAGGTCCCAAGCAAGGAAGTGTTTATAATTGATCATCCACACAACAAGGCAAACAAGCCCAATCGCAGTTGTCAGCCTCCCACCAAACTCATCCAGTTTCTTCTTAAGTGGGGTATCGTTCTCTTCCAAGGAGGCTTCATGTATCTGTTTCTGGATCTTCCCAATCTCTGTACACATCCCAGTGTTGACAACAATGCAAATGCAGCTTCCATTCACAACTGTTGTACCCGCAAAGACCATACATTCTTTAGCCTGCAAATCACAGTCAACCACGGAGACAGGGGTTGGGCCTTTGAGTACAGGAATTGCTTCTCCTGTTAGCGAGCTCTGTTCAACTCTCAGCGTTGTGGTTTTCAAGGCTGCAATTCTCATGTCAGCAGGAACCTTGTCGCCAACTCTCAGTTCCACAATATCACCTGGGACAAGCTCCCTAGCCGGCAAGTCTGGCACATAGTATCCATCCCTGAGAACCTTGGCGGACTCGGATTGCATCTCCTTAAGGGCTTCGAGTGCCTTCTCGGCATTGCTCTCCTGCCAAACGCCAACTATGGCATTGAGCACAAGAATCATGACGATCACAAAAGGTTCCACATAGGCCTCAAAGCCCGTCTCTCCATCTTCTTGACCTTGCAAGTAGGCTAGAACAAATGAGATGAAGGCTGCGACTAGCAGAATCTTGACAAGCATATCATCAATCTGTTCCAACACAAGGCGCCATAGGGGCTTTCTCTTTTCTTTCTGGAGCTCGTTCCAGCCATACCTCTCCCGCCGCTTCTCAACCTCGTAGGAACTCAGACCCTTTTCTAGTTTGACATTGTATTCCTTCAGGCATTGCTCGACCGAACAGGACCAAGCAGGGAAGGATCTTTCTTCCATTGCCATACCTTGTGGTTCCAGTTCTTACTCAAAGACAATATTTATAGACAATTCGTCTCAAACCCATCTGGAGTTCCCTGCATCAGAGTGCAAAAGCAGGAGAAAACAATTAAAAATACTAACAACCTAGGAACTAAAGCAAATAACAACCCAGAATTTCTTTTTTTACAAGGAATAATATATAAAAATTTAATAAAATTAAAGTGTTTCTTCCATTTCTTAAACAAAATAGGAAGACAGACGAAGAAATGAAGAAAGAAATAGAATTTGTCAAGAAATGAAACCAAATGAGAAATATTTCCTCCTATTCTTTTGGTATTTCTTATCACTGAAAGCAATCCAACTGTAGAATTCAAACCGAGGAGGGGGAAAGGAAGAAGGAGAACATAACCCAAAGGGCGCGGGAATTACTAACCACCTTGTAAGATCGAAGTTGTAAAAGAAGAGAGTGAAGCAATGAGTGTACAGAGATGATTCATGATTGTCATAAAGAGGATGAGCACTCTCCAATGAACTTGTAATAAAAGCACATAGCAAACATATATATAATAGAATATAATAATAATCTTAAAAAAAAAAGGAGAGGATGAAAAGGCGAAATGCACAAAGAACTACCGTTGGCACGCTGGCACTGAGAGAGGAAGAGAGAAAAGAGAAAGTTCGCTTAGAGATAAAGCAAGGAAGAAATTCTCAGGTTCGACCACTGATTACGAATCATCTGGGGTATATATTACTGCAACTGGAAGTGGAAAAAGAAAAAAAAAAAAGACTTGGGTATGAATGGTGGGATGGGAAAATTCGCATGGACTCTGGCGGGTCGTACTTTGTTGTAAGTTGGTAGAGCAGCTTCTTCGCCTCGCCTTCGCTTCTAAAGCAACCAGTAGTCTAGTACTTGTGTTGTGTACCGGAAGTTTAACAGACAAGCCCAAGCCCCCAAGCACCTATATATATATATATATATATATTTTATCCTCGTTCTCTCTCTCTCAGTCAGTCCTGTTCCCGTCCTTGTCACTGTCAGGGGAGATGCCAACCGTCTCTCCTTTCAATGAACACAGCGTGATTTTACAGTCGAAGAACCTTGAATTAAAATGAACGCATGGAAGACAGATGGTCCTACTATGTCTCTTCAGTCTTCAATTCTTCATCTCAATGCAGCCATAACCTCCCTCTGTTTTTTTTTTCCCTATCTTTTTTAAGGATAAAGTTTTACAGTAACGATGATAATTACAAAAAAGCTTTCGATTATGAACCGGACAACTTGTAATCAATGTATATTGTGTTTTCCGCAGCATAGCTTTTTCCTTCATATTTCATAATAAATTAAGAGCTTCAATTTATGTGATTGGAACAGTCCACCGAACAGGTGATGGTTAATGTGGATTTGATTGCTAGATGCTAACGTCAACGCGGTTTCTTAGTTCTTATGCCCAAATCCTATTATCTCAATTCGTGCCAACAATTAATATACTGGTTCATTTATTTATATTATATAAAAGTAGATATTTATTTAAATTTAATTATATATTACTAATTATTAATGGTTTTTCAACCATAATTGATTTGAATGATTAGACCATTTGGTCCAAAACCGTTTCGGCAATCAGTTGTATTTTATCTCTAAATTGTTTTTTTGTTAAAACTGATGACTTGATTAGCAATTCACGGATTAGGGTGGTCGAATTGTGAATCCATTCAATTCGAACATTGATTTTTGGCAATTTTCTTGTTATTCAATCGGAACATTGACTTTTGGCAATTTTCTTGTTTTAGTTAATTTTTTTATTTTTTAATTTGCAATGAATTGTCCATTTAAACTGGATGGTTGAACCTCTGATCCAAAAACTGGTGGCCAAACTAGTGACTCCAGTGCTTTTAAAACATTGATGTTAAATCTATACATACAAGCTTGTATTAATGTTTCCTTACATTTGTTGTGAAAATTTTAAAACATCCTCATCTTGCCAATCTTTGTGAAATTTGAATACAAAAAAAAAAAAACCCTTGCCAATCAACATTGAATTCGAGAGAGAGAAAGAGAGAGGGGAAAAGTTTTTTGGATACTTAGGGGGTATATGTTTTTTAGATTTTGAGAGGGGAAAAGTTTGCCAATGGGATTTTGGTTCCCATTGACCAAAAAACCCATATTCTTTTTTTATATTTGTGTGGGAATAAGGAATTTTATTTTTTGGGGTATTAGATGAATAAATAATTTTTCCACCTAGAGGAAAATTGCTAACACTTGGATAGAACAAAAATACCTCTTTCAATAATAAATTTCTATGACTAAAATAGTCATTAATTTGTTTATTTAAAAAATAAATATAGTTACCCAGATAAATAATTTACCAAAAAGCAAATAGAAACTTTTAGAAAAAAAAAATTATTGGGACTAGATATGGGTCCAATGATTCATTAGTCATAACAGTGGATGGGAAGAACGCCACCATTACATGCGTACTGCTTTTCAATTTTTACTGGTCCTGTATTAAATCCCAGAATCCATGTCACTTACATGCCCCACCTTGTATCAACTTTGGATGACTTTTGCATACAAAGTAATGAAGTATTATGAGCCCAAAATATGTTTATATGAATACAGAGTGGAAGGAGAAGCTTGAAGACTCCATTCATACAAAGCACATTTTATTTATTAAGCATCCATGTATAAAGTATAAACTAATGCCTTCATTAATAATGACTTGTCGGAACGGACACGCACCCACTTATGATTGAAATTTTGAAAAGAGAAAGAAGTTGGGTGCTAAAGAATTGTCAAATGGAATTAGTTGGACTTGCCGGTTCTAACTTTCATGGCAACCAATTTGGTGTTAAACTAGTTTTGTTTGGGGTGGCGGAAGAAATGAATCACCCTTCGACACAACGACACATCACACAAAGAAGTAGATAATAGAATTGGAAATTGTCAGTGGGGTTGGTTTTATCAAAGTTTGGTCCCCCTCCCCCACTTTGCTTTCAGGGCGCATTTATGTATTAATTTGTCCCACCAAATTTCCAGGAAGCTTCCTACTTCCTGCTCTCCCCCAGTTTGTGACCCGCGTTGCGAATAAAAAACTGGCCCTCCGTCTGTTAGTCAATCGGGATCCTTTGTCCTGCTTTTGAAGGGTACCGCTTTGACGTTAACGGTCAGGTGAGGTGACTCAACGATATGAATTGCTATGGAATTTTAAATGATAAAATATTTGAGCACATTGTATTCAGCCATTCAGCTCAAATAAGCTCCATTTATCAACAGAGATTCACAACCTTCTTGATAGCTTGATACCAAGCAATCAGTCAGTCAGTTATGCAGTTTCATCTGTTATTATATATCCAACAGTAAGAAGCCGGCCTCATTATATACAGCCATTTTAGCTTCTCAATTACTGTTGGATTGAGCTTTAGTTGTTTTCATCCAGAGGAAATTAAAGAAAAGGAAACACCATCACCACTCACCACTCATATAATAAGAAATGGGATTTAATCTGCCCCATGTCTCATACCAACCTCACAGCTAGCATTTAGCAGCTGCACATCAGGAATATCTCTCTAGCTGCATGTTGCCATTCAATGAAGAAGAGATATTTCCGGTGCATGGCTTCAACGTGCTTATGATCAGGTTTGTGTGAGATGTCCTCTGTGGGATGTAAATCCGAATTTGTTTAATAAAACCGTATCTCCATTGGTATTGTGAACTGAAACCCATATTAATATTCCAATTCCAGGTGCCAAACATGTCACCCAGTTCGAAGCCTAGCTCTGGATCATATATATGAAGACTTTCTTAGGTATTCGTATTTGGTTAATGATTCCAAACAGTCATTGAATTTGAAGCATTGGTAATTGAGAGAAGAAATCAATTTCTTGGAAACCAAGATTGCAGTTTCTCAATTGTAATAAATATACATAGAAGACCAAACTAAAATTGTCTTCAAGTTGTCATTAAACATAGACTTTAGATGACTTGGGAGTGGGAGATAAATTGCTTTGAAATATTAATTGGAATGTCATGTGTATAACTTCTTAGAAATATTGGAATCCCAAAGCAGCTACATTTATCAACAAATTCACAATTAACCTTCTTGATATATATATATATATATATATATCTTATAACTAGACAAAGCAAAAGTCAGTCAGTTCAGCTGTTATTATCCAAGGAAAGCCCAATATAAACCGTTGGATTAGGCCTTGATTGTCACCCAGAAACACCATCACCAGCCACCACCCTTCTTTCTTTTAAATTATTAATTGTTAAACCCACAATTTTCCAAGACCTTAGTTGCAGTCTTGCAGAACAACTCAACGACCTCAGCGTGTGACTGTGTGGTGAAAAGAAAACAAAAGATCACGTCAAACCGATACCTGTTTAACACACTATCGTATTCAAATATCACCGGAGGATTGTTAAGTTGGTCTACGACAGTGGTCGCAGGTAATATGTTCTCCAATATTCCAGTGCCCTGCCAGAGCCCAGAAGCCAAACAAAACTGACCGTGTCATCTCAGTTCGAGGCCCAGCTCTGAACATGAAGATTCTCTTGAACATGGGCAATGGGTATACATACGTATTTGGTTAACGTTTCCAAACAGTCATTCAAGTACTGGATGGTTGGGAGAAGAGATCAATTTCTTGGAAACCACGATTGTATTCAATTTCTCAATTGTAATAAATAAATATATATATATGGAATATAATGGAAGACCGAACTAAAATCGTTTTCAAATTCTCATCCATAGACTTTAGATTACCTGGGAGTTGAAGATAATTTCTTAGAAATATTGTTGGAATGTCAATATCATGTTATAGAGAACTTAGTCTTGCTACGACCTTGTCAAAGATAAAAGTTAAAATAAAACCAGGCCAGTCGTATAGCTTAAGAGGTAAGAAGAGTTGCTTGCGGCAGAAGAAATGCAAGCTAAAGTTATGAGTTGTGACATGTTTGCGTCAAAATTGTCCACATCTGTTTGGTTGTTGAGTAAATGTTGAACAGGGAAATGAAATAGCTTGAAACACGAATGAAAATTCGTATGGTGGAATGAACTTTTATAGAAATGAACATGGAAATGTAGGATAGGAAATGGAACAGTATCCTAACTTTGTTTATCAAAAAAAAAGAGAACAGGAAACTCACTTTATATTGGAATGTGAGGATAATTTCGTCATTTCAATGTATTCTGATTCGTTTATTGATCAGGTCATTAGGAGATGCATCCGGTACCGGTACCACATCCCTTTTGAATGTTAAATACCATGGCTTTTTGACCGTTGTTATATCTTTTTGACCAATTCAAACGTTCGCTTTTCTTTTTCCTAAAGAGCGGTGCTTTTTCTTTTCATATTGCATATTAAGTATTTACTTCCAATTTGCAATTTTATGCTGGATGGGTTTGGTTTTCATTCCTTACGCTCAGTTTGGAAGGAGTGCAAATAGTACTGTACAAATATATACAAAATAATATAAAATACAAAGTCTTACACTCTGTAAATTTGTATTTGTATTCCTTCCAAAATAAGTCTTATATTCGATTATATATATATATATATACATGTACATATTCACATATATCAATTTGTTGACTAAATGACCATTGACCTTAAATGTGGGTCAGATTTGCCTTAAGTCAAATATTTAGGGTTCAGCTAAAACCCAGCCAACCCACCCAACTTACAGCCCTACATTTAACATGTTACATATCATTGGGGGATTCAAGGGTGAAGTACAGTAGCTGAAAGCTCGCCCTTGATAAGGTCTCTGTTGATGGTGACAACTGACAAAGACTTGGGATGGAATCCTGCCCAGAGCAGTGTCGAGCT